TTAAAACAATTGCATGTTAATAATTTTAAATAAACTAATATAAAACAGGGCTTAGATTAAGCCAGGATTAGGCCTTAGTTTAATTAGGATATATAAGTATCTTAAACGTGCCTTAGAAAAAAAACATTACTGGTGTGTATCTTGAGACAAAACAATGGCACTGATATATTTTAAGACATGTCAGTGCAAGTTGCTTTCAGTTAAGACAGCTCAAACATTTATTTTAGTCTGGAACTAGGCATACAAGCAATAAACAAACAGTGCTTTCAGTATTTAAGAGTATCTGAACATTTTCCTTTCAAGAGCTGTTTGTGATTTTTCTCTTTCTCAGCTTTACTGTTGTTGATTATTATGATGACATCATAGAGAGCAGCAAATCTAATAAGCTGCATTCACACTAATGCACAGATCTCTTTTGAAATATAAGATGTGGTTTGTCCTGTCTGTTTGATCCTTTAAGACATAACTGACTGGGTTTACATTAATTTCGTGTCATAAAAGCATTTTGAAATGTAAGTATATTTAACCACTTAAAAGGAGTCGCGCACAGCCGCATGACCGAGCACTCTTCACAAAGCATGCGTCAGCATTTGAAATTGACATAACGACATAACTGAGGTGTTCGTAGAGCATTTGTAAGGAAAACACGAACTTTATTAAAGGTTATTGTGTGGATGGTTCGAGTGGTGGGTGTGTGTGTGTGTGTGTGAGAGAGAGAGAGAGAGAGAGAGAGAGATAGAGAGAGAGATAGAGAGAGAGAGAGAGAGAGAGAGAGAGAGAGCGCAACTGGAAGCAAGCAGGATGAGTTCCTAAAGCACATGCAGCGCCATCGCGCATCTGTGGTTAAAAACTAAGCTCAGAATCTTTTCTCCCATCTCTATTGTATAGTATGACCAACACAATATTAGATAGATTAAACAAAGTGTGCTTTTCTGTAGGCCAGGCATATGCGTAGTGTGCCAAGCTGATGCTTCCTCTGCAGACTGCTTTACACTCGCGAGTCATGTGACGAGAATGTAATCGCAGTCATATCGCGATATTATCGCAATTGCGATTAATCGTTCAGCCCTATTACACAACATCATAATGTTATTTTCAAATACATTTTTTAATTATTATTATTTTAAATTATTGTGCCTGGATTAGTAGGCTACTATTGTAATAGAGTAGCAGTGGCTGGGACAGATTTTAAGTATCAATTCCACTTAAAAAGATGCAATCTAATCCTGTTTACATGAAATAAACCTGCTCCCGAGCAGGTTTAAGTTTACGGCCCTGTTGCTATGACAGCAACTCCAGGATGAGCTTCAAAGAACCAAATAATCCAAGATCAAGCCAAATCGTCAACAATCAAATCCAGCTAACTGAGTTAGCGACGTACGAAGAATGGACCCCAGTTGTCACAGAAAGCCAAATGTTAGGCTACATTTTGTATTGCACAAAAATGCTTTGCTGATCCTTGAAGAAGAGGCAGATGATACTGATAGGCTCCACCTGTGATCTGCACAATTCTAAAACAAAACACACTGTGACATCATAAACCCACAGGAAAATATGCCACTCAAAGGGAGGCCATGATTACAAAATGTTTCAACTTTATTTACACTTTAAGCATGACTAAACCATTAGAGGAGAGCAAGCTGTCACACCTGGCCTTAAGGAAGAACACAAAAACACAGACACAATACTGAACCAAGTGACCATAACATTGCCCAGAGCCAAAACAAAAATCTAACAACAGCAGCCATCTTTTGATTTGATTTCAGTGCCACGAAACTTGATCCAGGGCCTCTCTTTGAGTTTTAAAACACCCTGAATGCGGTTACAATGTACTCGGGGTGAAGCTCAAGCCTGGAGCTGCAGCACTTCTCTTCCTGTTCTTTCACTAGGAACCCCCTTTCATTCTCTTCCCCGACCCTCTTAACAATATACCGGTGGTCTCCAATCACAAAAGAGAGATGTCAACAATCTGTGATAGATACACAGACGTATCATCTAACATGGCCAGCAGATCTCAGTGTTGAGATGACCTGATGTGTGACAGCTGTCAATGAGAGTCCAAAGAGTGGTGAAGGTTCACTGAATACAGATTGGTAACATGAAACATGTCACTTCTTGCACACTAGCTAAGTATATTAGGTTCTTATCAATATTAAACAACAAAGAGTTGATCTTGAAGTATGTAACAGAAGTGATGGTGTTGTCCAGACTAAGTGATACTTCATAGAGACATAAGTGACTGAGTAAAGCGGCCTCTCCATAAATATAGTACGACATAAAGATATCTTACATCTTCCTTTGTCTCTCTATCTCTGCTCGCCTCTCCTCCTCTTCTCTCTTCTGTTTCTCGTCGGTGTTCCTCTTGCCCAGTGTCCGGCCGAACATGTCCGTTCGGCCGGGGGGTGAGCCACCTCTGTCCCTCCTGCTGCCTGACCTCGAGCGGGACCTTCTGCTCCTCTTCGGTTCCTTTGACCTGCTCCTTTTCTTGCTGGATTTGGATCTGGAGCGACTCCGTTTGCGGCTGTGTTTATGGTGTTTGGATCGGGACGCGCTGCGGCTCCGGGAGCGACCCATATTCTGCACGAATAAATCCGACTGACACCGCTAAAGATGGTCTTAAGAATGCAGTACGGTCTGCAACGACCTCATGTAATCTTATATGACGGTTACCTGTGTAATTGTTCAATATTAGCCTGTTTAATGAGAGTGTTTGTTGTTTCCTACTCCAGTGAATCTGCAGAATCAAACAATATGGCGACAGCCTCCAGTCTTCCTTTTCCCAGAATGCAACGGGCTCGGCTCTTTTCGGATATTTCCGGGCTGATGCCGAGTGAGCTACATGAGGACGCTGGAGTCTGCGGAAGCGTGAAGGCACTAATTAAAAGCTCACTGACAGCTACTTTGAGGTATCTTCACACAAAACACTGTCGATGACTGCAAAGCAGCAGCCATTTATTTCAAACAACTGCATACCTCACAGTATTTTAGTACTGCACAATGCATTATACACGCTGACAGAGTGACTGATTGCCATGGAAACGTGAACGTCATGTATAGACTATCTTCTCTTTTAATTTTAAATCATTCTGCATTTATATACATCGCTCCATTAAAACCTCAACATGTCGTGAACACAACTCTCCAATAAAAAAGTGCGGGGGACGAATTTACTTTTTATAAAAAGTGGGGGGGACATGTCCCCCGCGTCCCCCGCGTAATCTACGCCCCTGTATACACGGTATACAGTCGTGGTTGTGGAGACAACGGCATCTTTTTGGCAAATTCAAAGGTCATCCAGAAAGAAAATGGCCACTGTTCGCATTAGCCTATATACTGTCCATATACTGTATGCAACAGTATGAACATTATTTCTTTATGCCACTGAGTGGAATATTGCTCTTATTTATTGAATACTGGGTAGTAGGCTATATACTGATGTTTATTTATTTTTTAAGTAGTAAGTGAAATTCCACACTAAACAGTATATGCTATTCATATAATCTCATCATATTGCGTATTTAATGAGTGGCATATCAGTTACCATTCTGGAAATAAATAGGGCATTTATAAATTTCATGTAAAATGTCTTTTGACATTTGGCAGGCTGATGACATAAGCTAAGAAAGAGATGGTAAAACTCAGGCTGCATCCAAAATAGCATACTTCCCTACTAC